TATAAACATGTTGATGGTGACAAGTGAGTCACTATATGTATGCTGTATACAGCGTGTACGATATAAACATGTTGATGGTGACAAGTGAGTCACTATATGTATGCTGTATACAGCGTGTACATTATTAACATGCTCACAAAGAATTGTCCCATGACGATTTTTGCCTATAGAGAACTAATATTTTGTTTCTTTAATTTTCATGTTCCACTGTAATGGTCCAACTTGAAAATATATCTGGTGTTTGTCTATTCTATATTCTAGCTCGGTAACAAACACTACCATCAACTTTGCAGAGTATATTTCATATGTTGACCGCTTTTGTTTTTGCAGGGTCAAGATGAGGCTGGCTATAGCTCATCAGGGGATATAAACAGTTCAATATCACGTGATACCACAGCCAGTGATCTATCAACACTGACCAGTGATGGTGACCTAAGTCTCCCTGGAGATGACCCATCAGACGGAAATGCACTTGGTCGCAATCGAAGCTTTAAATCTGCCATGAGAGGCTGCCCACTGCTGTCTACTTCAATAGACATGGAGGAGGACGTTTGTGAGAAGGAAATTAGCAAGACAAAGGAAGATACTGTCACAAAAAGATCAAGGAGTTTCCGAATAGCAACTCGTATGAAACCATTAAGATCAGTGGATTTTAGTGATGAACGCCTTTCTGTTTCTGGTCCTAACACCCCAATCAAGGACAAGGTTATGAATGAGTTTGGGACAACAATGAAAGAAGAGCCAGGGTCTCGGATCAACATCAACAGTAGGCCATGTCTAAAAAGTTACCATTCAGACACTTACTCCAGCATGCCTGTTCTCAGTGAGGGAACTGGTGGCTTGGAGGGACACCATAGTTCTGGTAAACACGGTTCGGATTTTAAGAGATCTAGTACACACAGTTCGGACATGGAGGGATTCACCACACCTCGTTCTAGCGTAGAGAGATCATTAGCGTACACTTCAGATAGCTTCAGTGCTCTTTTACCTCAACCGAAGAGAGTGATTGATATCAAACGATATTTCACTGTGAACCGTGAGCAAAATGCCCGTACCAAAGAAGGCTCGAACGAGTCTTTAAGCAATTTAAGAAGAGATGGAAAGTCAGTTTCTGCGTTCAATGACACATTTTTGAAAAAGGCCACACATGATTTATTAAATAACTCAGCTCAATCTGGAACAAAGTCGGTTTTTCTGACTCGACCTTTGCCCTTGGCAGCGACCCTTACATCTGATCAGAGAATGTGTTCATCCAGCTGTTCAAATGTGGGAATAGTTGGAAATCGTGGTTCAAGTTTCAAGGATGAAAATCCTTGGGTTCAGTCTAATACAGATGTTAGTCTCTTGGACAATAAGCCACTGCGTCAGCGTGCCCATTCGACCGATGGAGAGTTGGACAGTCTGGATTGGATGGTGTATGCAAATAGAAATGATCTTCCGGTGACTGGATTTTCTACTGACGATATACCCAAGTTGTGTAAAGGTAATTCGTCACATGAGAGACTAGACAATAGCAGTACAGAGGATGTGTTCAGTGGTTGTAGTAATATTTATAGCAACCGTTACAACAATCAGCAATACCAGTCCTCCTGTCACTGTGATCTTATCAGTGCAGACAAGAAATCTCAAGAGCCAGACCTTTCCTCAGAAGCCGTAGATCAGAACAGAGACTTAGGTAAATATGGTCATCTTCAGCATTTCTCTCCATACGATCGAGACGGAGACGATTACAATACGCTAGGTAAACTACCACAAATCCACAAACATCGACCTCTAAAAAGGTCAAACTCCACACCTAGTGCCCGAGTTGGTGTCGCAAAAAACGAAAACTTGAAGGGAGCTAGATCCTCGTCATTCGACATGGATCAGGTGATATTTGATCACGAGAAAATTGTGGCAGAAATGGAGGAATATTTGAAGAAATCTGACTCCACTTTATCTCTCGAGGCACAAAAGTTCCCAACAAATATCAACCAGATGTCACCAGACAATGAAGTAACCAACCATCTCTCACACCGAGATTCTTGTGCATCCAATATATCGTCTTCTTCTTATGAAAGTCAAGAAAGTGACGAAAATATTCATAATGATAGTATTGTAGACACTTTGAAAAACAAAATTCACGATTTCGCCAGCAAAATTACACACAGACGTTCAGGGTCGTATGATAATAAACTGTGTGAAACCTATGATCAGGATAACGATCTGGCCTCTGAGAAACACAGTCCTCTGTCGGTCAACTCCTGGTTCACATCCTCCAGATCACAGGAGCCAGATCTTGCGTCTGTGTTACAGTCAGGAGAGCTGGGCGGTGCTGTGATCGGTCAGCGTATGGCCGAGTGCGACATCCCACAGAATCCAGATTACAACTTTTCTGAACCAACTCTTTCGTTGAAACAGAGCTCGAGCAAGGAAAAGTTGCAGCCAGACTGCAGTTTTAATGATGATAATTTTCTTGATGCTGACAAAATGACTTCTGAAATGTCCAAGGATAACGCTACAATCTTAAACCTACAAAATCTCAACATTCAACAGTGTGATTCAGCATTTTCTATTGGTGACAGTTGTAACACTGAGAATTCTCCTCGCAGTGCTGAGGAAGGCACAAAACTGAGACGGAACTCGGATTCTGATTCTTCTGGTGATAGTTTCTATGAACGCCGACTATCAATAGCTTTCGATGAAGGCGACGCGTTTCGAGATTCTGCTGTGTACTGTGAAATGGACGTAGACCCTGTGGACCACGCCGACAAGCAGTCAACTGTCTCATCAATGTCTCCTCTCTCACTTGTCTCGAAACCCATGGCTGAGCTTCCAATCAAAGCGTATGTGCAGAGGTTAGAGGAAAAAGTTCAGCCAAAGCTAGAAGTGAATTCGATTTTAGAGGCGAATACGCAACAGCCTCTTAGCATTTCGGTAGGGAATAAAGCTGCTGCTGGGATAGGGAAAGCCCCTCGGGAGCCAGGGGTCGTAGTCAGACAGAGAATGGAGAGCTTGCAACAGGATGTGATATACCGCAGTTCCAGACCCTCCAGTGAAGAGCGCGATGTTCGTGTCTACAGCAAATCAACCGGTGATGAACGAGAGCTATCTCCCTTTGCCGGGAGATTTAGATTGAAGCGGGCATCTACTCCCTGTCGAGGGGAGGACGACTACTTCCTTAGAGAAAGTTCGGACCCCGCTCATGTGTTCAGGAGTCGCTCAAGCACGCCAGGTAGCGGCGTTCTCAAACCCTCCCGGTCCTTAGGCCGTCTGGACCAGTTAAGCTCAGATCCCGAGAACCTAGTCATCATGAAAGGCTGGGTCCGCCAACTCATACAAAAGTTTCAATCCACAAAGTCTTGACCAATTCTTTTCAACATTTTCATATCTAACCAGTGAAAATATACATGACCAGTAGTCCTGACCAATCAATCACCTTTTATTGCTCCAGATAATAGTTGTTATACATAATTTACTTGTGACATGCAAGTAAGTCCAGTTATCAGGTCCTAATTTTAGAACCTAGTTAATGTCGTTTATATCTACTGTATATTGACCTATACGTACCACCGTAGTTCTATATTTTTCACTCCAATAAGTGCCATGAAATATTTTATAAATGTACAAAGTAACTTTATATTTTTGCTGCTACTTCTTCATGAAACCATAAATACCTTAGCTTGTGTGTCAAATATAAAAGATTCATTTGCACATCCAGTGCCCAAAAGATGTCTATGCAAGTATCTGTTACCACACAGAAGCCAGTTTATAAACGTGTAAGGTTTACTTTAGTGTGCTCGTCTGTGATACACCTTTTGTCATGGTCTATTCAAATATCTAAGTATTTGTAGATCTTTTGGAAACAGATTGAGTTGAAATGCTGTGATAAAGTTACGAACATAAGCTATTTTATCCTGTTAATTTACATGTACGTCACACACGGATCTGAGAGAACTTGAAGACCTTCTTGGGGATACAAGTTAATCTGCAAAGTCAAAAATGTAATGAGATTTAATAGGATATTAGTGGAGGCAGGCATTGCTGTCTGTATATCCACATCAATATACCATAAACTTCACTGTGGTAAACATGTGTGATGTTCATGTAGATGTGTCATCGTATTTCCACTAAAAATCTTTCTCAGAATTAAATACTGTACGTGATGAAATAACGTGGAGACTATTTAAGACATCAATTGTTCTCTAAGTAAGATAATGTTTTGTAAGATTTAAATGGCAATGTTGTTGTAACAGAAATGTTGTTGTAACAGAAATTTATGGTTTTTGTGTCGATACTTTTTTACTAAAATTGTTGATAGCATTGCAGATTGTCAGTTCCTTATTTATTATTTTTCGTTAAAATTTCACATGAACAATTTTACCCAATATACATTTTAGTGATATAGGTTTGCTGTCACAAAATCCTCCAATAAATGTAAACAATTAAATGAAAATATATGACATTTGAACTTAAACATGATTTCCTGATTGTCATTTAAAACTGATAAAAAATTTACCAGAGTACCATTAAAATTCTTTTCAATAGACCTCTCTTTTTCATTTCGGAGAAAGTCAGCTGTGGATTTCTATACTTCATCAGCCCGTGCTACATGCTCCTATGACTGTGGTTGACCAATAAGCTTCGTTGAACGATGCAATAATATTAATTAACGAGTCCGAAACTGTCTGCCAGTGCTAGATAAACCATTGTCATTCTATTTGTAATAATGTACCTAAGTAAAATAATACTTTTTGTGATGTAGTTTCTGTGGTTTTATATGTGAGCTTGATCTCCCCATTAATTCTTAGGTGTGCAATTGTCTACTGTGTGCAGTGCTTGTCGTAAACTTTCTAGTGTTATGGTAATCAGTATAATTTACTGTTTTTCGTGTTGTGAACATTAAGTGGTGTTAATTCCTCCTTGTAGATTTCAAACTGTACGACTTATCTCTCGTTCAAACAGACATCTTGTATTCTAACGTCACTTTTAAAACAATCTTAATCTTAAAAGGTGTACAATTGTTTTGCATATATTTCAAGGTTTTCTCAAAACTACAACCATTCAACGAGAAAAAAAATACACTTCATGGGAGAATTACCTGTTCAGATAGAAACAATATGTACGGTTGGAAGATTGGTTTGTTCCTTGAGACTTGTTAAAATGCCACATATGACATATGGGCCACTTGTCTATATTGTCACGCCGAAAACTGGTGAAATTCTCGCACATGGAAGTATTCGCGCTGTGACGCAGTAAACTGATCGTGGTGTGGTCAGAAAGGTACATGTTCTATAAATAAACATTCACGTGTTGATATTTTAGAGCTTATTAACTCGATGCGAAAACCACGCACATTTCCACACCATGAAAATTTCTTTCTACAACTAAAATTTGTCCTGTATAATTGGCTTGGTGGTACAAGGGTTTTGAGATATATTGAGGGAGATATGTAAAAGAATTATCCTTAAAGAGGAAAAAGGTAAATGGGACCAAAACATTAGACAACATGAAATGAAGAGAGCATTATATTAAGGTTTTACCGTAAGTCGACTGTTACTACACTTGATGTTGTTCATCGATGGCTGTGTCTATGTGTAAAGTACATCTTCAAACTGGCGTGTAAATGTAATTTGATTGGATCGTGAAATTGTTTTGTCCTCTGGTTTTCGCAAACTTTTTCGTTGTGTTCAACTTGTGATCCGATTCGGCCACAAGCAGGTGTCGGACTTCCCAGAGGTGCTCATCAGGTGACAGTCCAGATATACCTCTGTTCGTCAGAATGTTGCTTTTCACATAGGTTCAAGTGATATTTAATTGCCGATGTTTGCAATGCAGTACTTGTGTTATACACAGCTGAAAAAAAGGTAGGCGAATCAGCGTGTCCTTAGGTAGAGTTGTTTTACTCTGGTCCTGCAGCTTAAACTTAACCACCATCGTATCTACCACGTTTACATGAATGTGTATTTGACATACCGAACAAATAATGGTACCTGCCCTTTTATGTGTATGTGGATCATAAGTCTTCTTCAGAAATTTAATTCACATACATGTATTCCCCAGAAACGCTGTACAGATGTAGCTGAACATGTAGGGCAATCGCACTGCTCCCCTGGTACTTCCCAAGGACAACAATCACACTGCTCCCCTGGTACTTCCCAAGGACAATAATCGCACTGCTCCCCTGGTACTTCCCAAGGACAACAATCACACAATTCTTTTGATGCTTCTCTACATTTTTCACAGTAAATATTTTGTTTTTATTGACGTAGGCTAATTGAAATGTTTGATGACGCTTATTGACATGTTTTTCTTAATTGCATGGTGGCTTATTTAGAACTTTGAAGAGTTGAATCCACTGCCTGTAAAATGGTTGATCCAAACACAATTAAAATTGTAAAATGTTCTATTATCTATAAAATGAAAAATGAAGTGGAGCTTGCTAATGAAGATGATAATGTTCATTCTATGTAGGCAGTATACTGTTAATGAATGATCCGACATTGTACTTAACGATACTTTGTACTTGTTTGTCATTTTTCAGTTATCAAATATTGGTAGATGTTGAAGTTGTTCAATTTATGAATGAACACACGTCCAGTGTCAGCTATGTACCAGCGTGTCTGTAGCATTACTGGCCTGATGTCGTGTAGTACGGACAATCACATATATACAAATCATGGTATCTGTTGTTCGTCCAGTGTCAGCCATGTACCAGCGTGTCTGTAGCATTACTGGCCTGATGTCGTGTAGTACGGACAATCACATGTATACAAATCATGGTATCTGTCCAGTTTATGTCAATATTATACTGTACATCAAAATATCTTTAAAAAGAAATGTGATTTATTAAAATAAACCATATCATTTGATATTTAAATAATTTGTTATTGTATTTCTGTGAACTGTGACCTTTAAGTTTAAAGCAGGATATTTCATCAATGATATTTGCTTGTTACTGTTTTCACTTTTCAGGAATGATAATTTACATACTTCGATAAGCAATTTCCATAATATTTACTTTCACATCTTCCGCATCGTGGAATTTACAAGTTTGTACTTTATTTGTTTACTTCATGTTAATCGTTGCTTTTTCAAAAAATAATTGGAATCAACAAACAATTCTCTGTGACGTATCACCATGTAGTAGTGAAGCATGAATATTTCGCACTTCAGGAAGCATCTCGAACAAGTAGATAAACGGGGCGTAGCTAACCTGTCTTACTTAAGTGGTTGCGATGGCACCCACTAGAGTAACCCGGGTTATGCTTATGGGCAAAGCTGCAGAGTACAATTGTATTTATCGACAATAACAACCACTAATGAAACCCTGTTACACCGTAGTCGGTACTAAATTTGATTTTGTTATGTTCTTTATGTTGACAAGCACTTCGCTGACAATGCAATAAACCACCCATAAAATAAACCCATCATACAGTAAATATGTATGCTATTGTGCCGTAGAAATGTCGCACATGAATATGATCTTACTCGAGTTTCCATCTCATATCAGATTTATGAAACAAGTCTAAGAATGTTTCAATTTAGCAAACCTCTGGCAAAATGAAAAACTTGAGACGAGTTTCATCAATTTAATATGAAACGAAAACGAGTGTAATATACTTTTTATCACAAATTCAAGATTTGTGGCATTTATTCGTGTAAAACGACCATTTTTATGCAACTTTGAAATGTAAAAAGCCGCCACTTTGAAATGTAAAAGGCCGCCATTTTGACTCCAGTGCGTGAGTCTGTGACGTCATGTACTTTTCCTAGGCGTGACGTCATAATTGAAACAATTGAAACTTAAAACCAATCACTGGGCTGATAGGTCATATTACATTGGTTAATACGCAAAAAAATATGACATGGGTACATTCACTGGATAACAAGGTACATTATGTGATAAATATATATATATCATGACAGTAACGTCTTAGAAGTAAAAACGTAAGGTAGGCGTAATACATGTTTTGTTCAAGTAATGTTATTTTCTCTACATTCATAGACGATTATAGGCTGCAGGCTTTTAGTTTAAACATTTTTGTCTTGGCTGCGATGGATGTCATAAATGCGGGAAAAAGCTGTCACTGTTCTGGTGGACAGTGTCAAGTTTTTGGGTGTTTAGATTCGGTAATCAAGTTTTGACAATAGTCGTGTCTGATCGTCGTCATTGCAATTAATGGATCGGATACTGAATGTAACCCAAATTTCTTGGCCTAAGATGTTAAGGCATCCAAGATGGAAACGATTAATGTACTCATTTACTGAAGGACAAGGTGTGATCAATACATCAAAGACGAACTACGCGAGAATGTAAAAACAATAAGAGCTATAAAGAAATAATTTGGAGCGAGATGAGACTACAACACCACAAAAAACTAATNCACAGACCCAATTCAACACACCTCACACAGACCCATGTCACCACACCTCACACAGACCCATGTCACCACATCTCACACATACTCACATCAATACACCTCACAAAGACCCAATTCAACACACCTCACACAGACCCAATTCAACACACCT